CTTTAAGGACTCTTCCAACCCAAACCATTCTATGATCTCCAGGAGCACAGGACTCCATCGTGCATAATGGTTACTTGGGAAGACAAAAAGCCCCACTTCCTTATTCTTCCTCCAACTTTATATGCTGTTCATGACGTCATATGGTATGGAACATCCCTTTATGCATAATGGTTACCTGGGAAGACAAAAAGCCATAATGTCCCCCCTCTTCCTTATTCTTCCTCCAACTTTATACGCTGTTCATGACGTCCTATGGTATGGAATATCCCTTTGGTCAGCGGTGAGCTGGGGTCACCTATCCCGGCTGTGTCTCTTCCCATCTTCTGTGTACTCCCTATCCTGGCTGTGTCTCTTCCCATCTTCTGTGTACTCCCAGCCTACTTACTGATGGGGTGGGGTGAGGAACAGAAAAGGCCTTGACTTGCTCAGCAACAACTAAAAGCATTACTGTGGTATCAATATTGTTCTCATCCTAAATCTAAAACATAGCACTGTACCAGCTGCTAGTAAGAAATTTAATTCTGTTTCAGCCAAACCCAGGACAAACACACCCCAAAAAACATTCCACACCACCTGCCCCCCTGCCAAATGCTGGTTCTGTCCACCTTTCAAACAGAAGAGCAGTTAAATACAGCAGATTTCAAAACATGTTAAATTAAATCTGTGCTTAAATGTTATCCTGATCCAGGCTCTCAGAACAGCTACAAGAAAGCAATGGAGTAGAAGGCTACATTAACTGTACGTGCCAAATACTAATTGAAGGGTGTTCTAGAGGAAAATATGTCACACTGGATGTGACAGCCTGAGGGAGGCAAGGCTGCTGATGCTGCTCCATGTCTCCAGGTCCAACCAGCAGCAAAGACGGGGGTGTATTCCTAGTAGGCACACACACAGGGCACACATACACACCAAGGTTGGCTACACAGATGCTCAGAGAAGCCCCACAAACACAGACAGCACCAAAGGCCTCATTCTGCTCCCCTCTCTGTCTGGACAGGATGCAAGTCCACTAGTGAAACTGGATATCCACAAATATATACATGTACGAATAATAGAGAGCACATATCCAAGAAGAGATAGAAAGAGATTTAATAAGGTTCTTAGTCAGCAAACTATTTATGTGTGACTGACCCTTTTATCCCCTTTTCTCTCTATTTTCTCACTCTTATTCCTCCCCAAATCACCTAAACCCCTCCCTCATCCTCCCTTGGGTTCCTTCCCTAAACATCACATAAGGCCTGTACTATCTCAAACTGTTTTTCCCCCATATCCCATAATGTGTCCTACATACCTAGGCAGCAATGCCATTGTCAGAAAGAAAGGTAATCTGGAGAGCAGGTGCCACTGACTCATGGTGATGAGTTTCAGAACCAATGGGGCTGATGGCTCTGCTAGGATAGCCCTGGGAGGTGCCTAGATAATATGCTTGCTCCTCCCAAATCATTGATTTGCATTTCTATGTGCACTGGCAGCCCAGAAAACCAACCATATAATGGGCTGCATCAAAAGAAGCATGGCCAGCAGGGTGAGGGAGGTGATTCTACCTCTCTACTCTGCTCTGGTGAGACCCTACCTGGAGTCCTGCATCCAGCTCTGGAGGCCTCAGCACAGGAAGGACATGGACCTGTTAGAGTGGGTCCAACGGAGGGCCACGAAGATCCAGATGCTCAGAGAAGCCCCACAAACACAGACAGCACCAAAGGCCTCATTCTGCTCCCCTCTCTGTCTGGACAGGATGCAAGTCCACTAGTGAAACTGGATATCCACAAATATATACATGTACGAATAATAGAGAGCACATATCCAAGAAGAGATAGAAAGAGATTTAATAAGGTTCTTAGTCAGCAAACTATTTATGTGTGACTGACCCTTTTATCCCCTTTTCTCTCTATTTTCTCACTCTTATTCCTCCCCAAATCACCTAAACCCCTCCCTCATCCTCCCTTGGGTTCCTTCCCTAAACATCACATAAGGCCTGTACTATCTCAAACTGTTTTTCCCCCATATCCCATAATGTGTCCTACATACCTAGGCAGCAATGCCATTGTCAGAAAGAAAGGTAATCTGGAGAGCAGGTGCCACTGACTCATGGTGATGAGTTTCAGAACCAATGGGGCTGATGGCTCTGCTAGGATAGCCCTGGGAGGTGCCTAGATAATATGCTTGCTCCTCCCAAATCATTGATTTGCATTTCTATGTGCACTGGCAGCCCAGAAAACCAACCATATAATGGGCTGCATCAAAAGAAGCATGGCCAGCAGGGTGAGGGAGGTGATTCTACCTCTCTACTCTGCTCTGGTGAGACCCTACCTGGAGTCCTGCATCCAGCTCTGGAGGCCTCAGCACAGGAAGGACATGGACCTGTTAGAGTGGGTCCAACGGAGGGCCACGAAGATGATCAGCGGGCTGGAGCACCTCTGCTGTGAGGACAGGCTGAGAGAGTTGGGGTTGTTCAGCCTGAAAAAGAAAAGGCTCTAGGGAGACCTTACGGCAGCCTTCCAGTACTTAAAGGTGCCCTACAGAAGAGATGGGGAGGGACTATTCATTTTTGGACCATAGCAATAGGACGAAGAGTAATAGTTTTAAACTGAAAGAGGTCACTGTTTGGAAATGAGGGGTTCTTTGAAGAGTTTATTGAGATTTATATGGGAAGGGGATTTGCCCAGTTGTCAAAGGTTTTTCCGTTTAAAAATCAGGGCCCATTAGGTGCATCTCAGCAGCTAATTATCCTTCTTACCTTTAGGGAGTGACAGAATAATACTTGATTTAGCTGGCAAATCGAGAATTTTCCTGTTGCAGTCCTCATCCTCTGTCTACATCTCCAGAACACAGTCATCTGAAAATTGATAGGCTGATAACTGTCCATAGTCTTTGCATTTTTCATTGAAAAAAATTTGGGAATCATGGCTGAGTCCAAATGCAAAAAACCAAAACCAAACCCAATAAACCAAACCCCCAAACCTCAATTCCCTCCTCCCAGCCTTATACATCTCAACTACAGAGTTACTCAGTTATCTAAAAATCAGTGCTGTTTTCCTCATCAAAATCAGTGACATATTGAAGTATTAAATACTATATAGTATTCAGAATACATACAGTAGATTATATAAATATGTTGACAAATGTTAATAATAATACTATGCATGTTCTGTAAAATACTGCAGTAAATTATTAATTAAATTAATGTTTAAATGCATGAAAAAATCAGGACAGGATGAATATAAATCTGACTTTAAAGAGTTTTTGGAATACTATCAGGATCAAATCTTCAGATGCAGTTTCTCTAGAGGCACCTGTAAATATTTTTAATTAAAAGAGTTTATTCTCGAAGAGGCAAAGGATCTTTGGTTGTTGTTTTTTTTGTTTTTTTTTTAAACAAACCAAAAAACTTCAGCAGTAACGAATTTATAAGTAATTCACAGTTGGAATTGTTACTGTTTGGGAAGGTCATCTGGCAGCCAAAACAAAAAATAGGCAAAAAGAAGAAACAAAATATAGGCTGAATAGACCTTTGAAAGATATTTTATAAGGCTTAGGTTATTACTGGCAAACTTACCGTTCACTTGAATTTGGGGAAGGCAGAAAGTTGCCGCAGCCCCTATGAAATACCTGATTCTGTTTCTATGCTGAAGCTCCTTGCTCCTTTTCAAGAAAATCGATTTTTTATAGAATTTTCATCTAATAAGTTATACGATATAAAAGTCATATCAAATAAACTGGAAAAATTAATTTACCTATTGATTTATATTCTTTGTCGACTTTAATTGTTTGAATATCATGTTACTTTGTAGGCAGCTCTGTCTATGTCTTGTAGGCCATAAAGTACAGCTTAACTGAATAAAAGTGAGGTTTCAGAAACTTATCCAGCATTTAAAATAGTTGAGGTAGCTTTTTAATTCAATTGTAGTAAAAGTATCAAAATACAAATATTAAAAAACTACCTGTGTTTTTATCAATCTCCTGAACTTTGCTAGTTTTCAGTGGAAGCTCTTACAAATATAGTAGCTGGAAAACTTACACGCAGTGATGTGGAACAGGACACTTCCTAACACAAGAAACGACATAAAAAACGTTAGTTTATCTATTCAGGCAGCACTCGGATTCTTCCTGTCCCTTCATATGCATCCAAACCACACAGAACAGCTTTAATTGCACAGATCAGATTATATTTATAAACGAAAGAAGTTTTTTTATATGCTCCTACTAATCATGGATTGTATGATCCATGTAACATATTGTGTACTAACAATGAATGCCCAGTCCTGAGAAATACAAGCAGAGGTTTATATGATATGCAAATTGACACCCATCATTAATACCAGAGCTGCTTACTAGCAGAGAGTTAAGCATCTTCATAAGTATTTGCAGTGTCCACGCCTCTGGTTCCTTTTACATAAATTCAAAGTATTCTTTACAGAATCACAGAATCTTCTAGGTTGGAAGGGACCTTAAAGATCATCTTGTCCAACCGTCAACCTGACTGACAAAAATAGACACCCACACAACAAACAAGGAGCATCATCACTAAACCATACCCCCCAGCACTACATCAACCTCCAGGGATGGTGCCTCAACCACCTCCCTGGGCAGCCCATTCCAATGCCTGATAACCCTTTCAGTGAAAAAGTTCAAAGAAAGGTATTTTTAATAATGTCAAGAAAATCTGCAGTATGGAATTAAGTGCTTGGTTGATTCTTTTAGAAATCAAAATTCATTCAGCACCCAATGCCAAATGCTTTGGAGATGGATTCACAAGCACAGAAAGTGGCTTAATAGTCCTATTTTTCAATTCTTGAGGTTGAGGATAACTGTACAGATAAGCTTGTTGCCTGTGGACACATGCAACGTCAAAAAAAACCCCAAACTATTACTGAGAAACTTAGTGCAACATTCTTACCAAGACCTTTAAAAATACCTTTCGAGAATTTAGGGATTTGCAGTTTCACTCGAAGTGGTTGCAATATTCTTCATTTGTAAAGACAACTCTATTTTCCTTTCAGATTCAAGGCCTCTACCAGATGTAGCCCTGACGGGGAAGTGTACCCGAGAATGTGATGAATATGGCCACTCAGACTCCTGCTGGATGCCAGTTCGCACTTCTCCGGAGAGAAAGCAGAAGAGCCAGCCAAAACTCTCCACTTTCATGCCTGTCGATGAACGGGGCAGTCAGGAAAAACTGGCCAATGGAGAAGCCTCCCTCATGGGTGATCGCAACAGAAACCTCCTTAACAAAAAGTTGACCTCATCCTATGAGACCTTCAGCGCGGCGAGTTTCAGCAAAAACGAAGAAGGCAACCCAGAGGATATCCCCCTTACACAGACAGGGGAATACAAGCCATCTCCTGTCAATACTCTAACTAGAAGAGAAGTTTACCTGTAGGCTAAAAAAGCAGCAACAAAGTTCTTTGTGTGTTACAAGAAAGAAAAGGGGCAAAATTCTGAAAATCAAAACAATTTGAACAAAAATGAGAAACAAAAAAAGAAAAAAAAAGAGGGGGCCACCAAAGAGACAACCAAGAAAGAAAAGGGGCAAAATTCTTAAAATCAAAACAATTTTAACAAAAATGAGAAACAAAAAAAAAAAAAAAGAGGGGGCCACCAAAGAGACAAAAGATCTGCCTGCCACTTCTGCCTCCATAGCAGGCATTTAATTCTACTGTCTGCCTGACTATACTGTACAATGTAGAAAACATTGTTGTTACTTGCATGTCTAATTCCCCCTCACTGATTTTTATTTTCCTAAATCTACGGTTGCAAATTCCTCCCATAGTAACGAGCTCGATTAAAAAGAACACAACACACTGTTGTTTCCCCTCTGCAAAAGCATGAGTTAAGCCACTCATTTTGTTTGATTGTCATCTGGCTTGTTGAGGATAACAGGTCAGGGAAAAAAACGTATTCCAAACATATCATCTGAATATTGCTGATCCCCACCAGGGACAATCCTTCAGAAACCATACAGACATAGAGCTAAATATAAAGGAATAACCATTAATAGGCACTTTGTGAAGACCACAGCTTTAATATTCTCACCTCTCATCTGAGGCTGGAAGCAACAGAAATCTGTTCAGCCTGAGACTGCAGTCAAACCCATGGCATATTTTCCTACGATTCATGAACTCTGGTTCTGTTTTATCCATAGAACAAGCGTGTTCTTGCTGTGTCTCTTTCTCTCCTCCTCTTTCATTCTCTGTAACGGTTACTTCAACGTAAACACAACTAGTTTATAACGCATATACTGTAGGATAGTAATGATAAACTCTTAAAGTCATTATTTTGGGCGAGACTAACCTCTAGCTGGGAAGATGGTAATAACAAAAAGGCCAAAGATCACACAATGGATCAGGGGAACTGCTAAGTATTGGGGCTCGGCTTAGAAAACTAATGTATTTACAGACACCCGTGTACTCATAACACCCCTTCAGTTACATTTTGCACAGCAGCACAGTTCACGAGCCCAGATGACACAATTTTTTTTCTTTTCCCATGTGGTTCAGTTGAATGCCCAAAGGAACTGATGTGAGGTGGGTTGTTTGGTTTGTTTGGGGTTTTTTTTGTAACGCCATGATATGTTGCAGCAGGTGCTGCGTATGATATGCTGCATATGCCAGTTCCAGGGAATATTTAAGATCAAAATGAAAACCCAGTAGTGGTAATAGAAGGCTGTGTTAATGACAGTGCTGGGGGGGATGGAACAGGTGGGCAATGGGATGATGTGGTGACAAGAGAATATTAAAAGTCAAACGCAAAACCTCCATTTCAGAGTGCAAGGAATGAGTGCTAAGGTTTTTTTTTGTCATTGGTTACCAGTTGCTTCAACTATGTCAAAGATATAATGCAGGTTTTTCTTGAAACACAAGTGCATTAAAACCAAGAGAAGTGCAATACTAAATGATGTGAAGACTTGGAACTTTTAGGCTATGTAGGAAATGGTCTGATAAACAGTGGTATGATACTCACCGAGCAGATCAAAATGAGTCAAAAGGAGTCCAAGCTGCCACGATCCGCAAGAGCTCTGGGCTATAACAGTCCTCACGGTGAGTGCTTCTTGAAAGGAAGAGGAAAGGAAACAGGTTTTTTGTGCAATAAAAGCAACAAAACGGGCAGAAATTCAACCAGTTGCTTTGTAGCTGACGCTGTAGTAATAAAGACAGACCGAGCTCAGACATTCAGATGGAAATGACAATCGAACGACACAGCAAGGACAGCTCGAGGAAAGGGGGGAGTATTTGAATCCCTGGCTCTTTAACCTGGCATTAGGGCATGGCTAGATGGCTCTCTAGAATATCGTAGTCACAACGTAGCTTTGGGTAGTTTACTGCTTTGAAGAATTGCATAGAAATAACCTTAAAAGGCCTAAAGTAGAGGTTGGTAAATCAATACAACTCATCACATTTACCTTTTGAGTTACCTTTTCTTCCTGTGGTGGGGTGTGCCGTCATGGGCCATCTCGTTCTCCTCTCTCGGGTTTCCTTTCTTTAAGTAACATTAGTTTGTGTATAGCAGTTATGACGAATGGGCACACTTTTAGAAAGAAAATATTAAAATCAAAGGTTAATAACGATTGAACATTTTTATGTTTGATTATTTAAGTATATGGAGAGATGCAAACTAGTACTTTGTTACAAGACTGCGTACAGCAGTTACTGCTTTGTATAATCTGTAAGTACCTGTTTAAAGATGCTTCTAAAAATGCTTATGTAATGTATACACATTTTTCTTGCACGTTTCAACAGAATACACAATTGCATAACACAAATGTTCAACAGAAATGTTCCTTTAATAAGATTTTATTTAATATTACACATACAAAAAAAATAAATTAGGTAGCTTGGTTCCATATATTCTTAGACCCTTTTTCTAGAAGGTTAATAATACAGGTCATAGAAGACCTTCGGATTAAATGGATCAGCAGTCACTCACCAATTTTTGCACCACATAAGACAGTCATTAAATACTTTACTCGTGTGCATCTCCTTAGATCTAAGATGGGTGTGAAAGAGGTTTTTTTTTTAAAAAAAAAATAAAAAATTCTATCTACTGTAAGTATTCACAGTAATTCTAGTGGAACGAGCCACTATTAATATGCTGATTACTCTTCTGACCTGGCATGACACACAAATATACTTTGTGTTTGTATTTTTCCTCTTTATTTGAAATAGGTTAAAACTGGTGCCACTCCATAAATAGAGTGCTTTTGTATAAAAATAAAGAAATAAAACTATAAAAAATAATTAGGGTGAATGCGAAATATGCAACTGTGCCTTTTATACCTATTATTATGGTAAAGTGGTAGTTGGGTTTGGACACTGAGGGATAAGGGGCTATTCCCAACTTTTTTGAACCTGTATATTTACTTGTGTTTATTTTCTGAGAAATTATAAATAATATATTTAAAAACAAGCCTTTTGCCAAACTCAGTTAATGGACCAGTCTTAAGCATTATTAACACAAGGCTGTGGTTTAAGTAGGTCTTGAGGATTTTTTTTTATTACTATTTGTGTGGGATTTGGGGTTGTTTTCACTTGTTTTTATTTCTGCTGCCTGGAAAACTACGATCAGTCTATATTATAGTTATTTAGCAAGGTGTCACCAGTTCATGTTGCCAGGAAAATTGTCAATTAATTTTCTTTTTTAATTGCTTTTAGCCGTCATCACATTTCAGTTGTACAGCATAGAAATCATCCTTTTATTTCCTTCCATGGGAAACTCAAATGAGCTTTGCATGTATTTTACATTAGGGCACCTTTATAGATTGATGCGTTAATATATAACTTTATATGTATTAGAAAATTCAATAGCTTTGGTCTAAAAATCTAATGCTCATTCTGGATCTCAGATCCACTATGTTTATTCAATATGGTTTCTGACTGGCCTGCTGCCTGAGTTTCAGGAGAAAAAAAAAAAAAAAGTTAAACCTTATTTTTATGTGGGGGAAGAACTTAAATGGGATTGAAATGATTGGCTGAAAGGCTACCCAAGGAGGTTGTCAAGCAGGAAAACAAAGAATACGGATAAAGACCTTGCTGTAAATCCAGCCATCACCAAACATTTGTCAGGAACTTGAACAACGAAATATTTTTCCCTTCTGTTTCATTGGTGATAAATATACAGTGTTTCCTTAAGGAATGAAGCAGACGAAATAGCAATAGAGCTGGAAGTCCATCAGTTCAGTTGTGTTACTGACTGAAGAAGAGCATAAAACACAAGGAAGACGACAACACTCACCAGCTACCTGGGTATGCTTTCAGACAACTTTTTCCTAAATTTTAAAGCACTTGCATTCAGTGTGGTACGATCTGTTTGTAATATTAATCATTGACTATTGTTCTGCAACTTGGATGTTGATAGTGAAGCAGAGAACAATTTATCATTGTTTATTATGAGTCACTATGCACGCAACTATGCTAAACATGGCAAAATGTATTAAACGCTAGTCCACCTCTATTTATGAAATATTTACATAATTTAATTTGCTTTTGTACAGTTTTATGTAAATAAATTGCTTGTCATTTTTGTCTGCAAATTAAAATATAACATGTTCAACTGGTTGCCCATTTGCCAGTGTACTTTCTCTGACAGGCTATCCTACTTTTACTGGATTAAATCACATGGTAGTTTGCATTTTTAACCTCTATTTTGCATGGCAAAGATGAAACTGCCTTTGTAACTGGCCACATCTTCAGCTGCTGATGTAGCTGAGGTTTTACCTGTCTACAGAGTGATATTCAGTAGAGGTTATTGTCACTCAGGACAGCATACAGCTATTTTCGCCGTAAAAATAAAGGACTTGTAATGATAGCAGTTGTTTCCAATTACTGTTCAAAAGGGCTTCTTATTAAGGTATGTTTAAAACCATCATATTAAGAGGAATGACAAGTCTTAAGTAGAAGCTCAGGTATTTCCATCATGGAATGAAAATTTTCTAATTATCAGCAAGGTTGTTATTTTTACTAAGAAGTTTAGAAATATTAACAAATCCTAAAATGCCAGTGAAGCATCTACACTGAAAAGAACAACACAATTAATGCAGCATTTCAGAGCAAAATGTGAAATAAAAGCTCTAGTTCTTTCTAGCTGTGAATCAAATTATCCATCTCAGCATAACTACAGATCAAGAACAAACTCTCCTCAAGAAAGAACATCTAAGAAGCAGAAAGAGTTTATTCCTTAGCTGTCTGGATCACATACTGCTTTTTTTTGTTTATTTGTTTTTATAAAAAGCAGGTTCTGAAACAGCCATTGAGATGGGATTTGCAACAATTGTAAAATGTGAAAAATATGTTTGTGGGGAGAGGGATCAAAGGTTAAAATTCACCCCCCTCCCTATTGTTTTCTACAAAATACAGTACTGCTACAGAGACCTTGCAAATCATTGTGTACCGTTTCCCACCTAACACCACAAAAAGTGCTGTTTCTATCTTACCTTAGTTACAGCTTAGCCTTTCGAGTTTTGTGAATAAAAACTGGCCAGAACTTCTTTTAACTTCTTTTTTTTTTTTTTCTTCTTCTCAATAAACTTTACATTACAAATTTCTTTCTCCGCCTGTGCTTTCAGTTAACATTGCCTGGTCCGTCTTTAACGAAGGTGTCAAGGAAGAGTCTTCCTCCCGTCAGCCGAGGGCCTGTGGAGAGAATTCAATCCACCAACTGACCCCACATCTCCCACATCACCCTCCAACGAGCTCCCCCTCAACCTCTTTCAGCAGCAGCGGTATTTTAATGAGTGACTTCAATCAAGCTTTCATGTTGATTTTATATGAGCTGTAGTATGCAAGGCATGACCTTCTGTTTGTTTATTTTTGTCTTTTATCTGCATTTCTCCTTGTTTACCAACTGCATCCAGGAAGGTGATTACAGGAAGATAAAATAAATTTCCTGAACCACAGAGAGTCATAAGAGAGGATAATATAAGCTGGCAAAAGCTAACAATTTATGCTCCCCTTTAACCCTGACTTCATTTCTCCCTCCTGCACTGCAGTAAAATGTAAATCTTATGCAGAGACTGAAATTAATAAATGTGACCCAGGCTGAAATAATTTCATGTCTTTATTGAGCCTCCTGAGGGGAGTGTATAGAAGACGCTTAATAGTTCATAAATGTGCAGATCATCTAACATATGCAAAAGAAGAAAGCAACACCAGAGTTAGACAAGAATATTTAGTATATTGCTTAGTAAAATGATAGGATTCCAGTCACTCAGTTCATACAGTTATTTATTCTAAAGCAAATATGACTGGTTTAAAGACTTGGATATACTTACCAAGAAAAAAGGAAAAAAAATGCAAAATACCTATTCTGTAGTGGCATGGAATGGCCTCTGGGAGAAGGAGGAACAAAGAACAGCAAATAAGTATAATGTAATTGGCACAGAAGTGTTAGAAATAAATCCCTTTAGGACTTTCAAACTGATTTAAGGATCCTAAAATAGGGAGATATTAATGCATAATTTGTAGCTATCTACAGTATGGTACTGTAATTTCCAAGAAAAAAACTCTTGCTAATTATAAGGCATGTGATTCTATTTAAGGTCGTGTTTTTAAAGATTTAATTAATGGTTAAAAATATTTATATCTTAGTATTCCTTCGTTGTAAGCTTACTAAAGCAAAATTCAGCAGGCTTCTCCAACATTCATTGTAGGAGAATGCAGGGCTGGAAAAACAAAGATAGCCAAGATAGTTTCATGTATCTATTCTATTTTCAGCAGGGAAATCAACATCTTCATGTTTACACTATAATTATGAATAAAAAAAAATTAAAAATTCAAATCTAAACCTATCAGCTGTCACTTCTTTCCAGAATATTTCAGAAGGAACAAAGTAGCATAAAAAGCAGATTTAGTATACCATGTTAAAGCCTCCTTTGGTAAATTTTACACTCAGCAAATTCAGCATCATGGAGAAAGTAACTTAAAAAAGAACGAATCACTAAGTTTTTCCCAATTCTGTGGGGAATCAGAGGAGGAAGGAAAGAGTAGAGCAAGAAGGAAAAAAAATTGCTGTTTCCTTTTATTACCTGCCTCTCCTGGATTTCCAGCACCTATGGAAAATCCCATGAATGGAATCTCTAGTACTGGAATCTATCTTTTCCACACACAGGTGGGGATCTCCACTTTTTTTCCAAAAGAATGTGCAGGTTTTATAACATGTACTAATTCTAGTTGGGGTAAACCATCTTCTTGATGCTTTTTCTTCTGTATTAGATGATTCCAGAAAATGAAGCTGGATCAACGTGAAAAGAGATTATGGTGGCAGTAGTCTGCTCTAAGTTAGTTGAATATATATTTAATAAGACAAGTAGAAGTGAAAAAAAAGAAATCAGAATAAGATGAAAGAGATCCTGTTGGTCTGAAAATACCCACAAACAGCTGCACACACTGTAATGATTTATTATTTAGGTCTGATCAAAACAGAAGAGGCCACAAATTTCCTGAGTAAAAAAGAGAATGGAGGATTTTAAAAAAATAATAATAAATTACAGATGAATACCTAATACCAGTTAAGTACATGTATGTATGATGTATGTACATACACACGTACCTCTCACCTCTGGCTTTTGAAGCAGATTTTAAGATGCTCTTGAAGATTCCAGAAAATGGTCTACTTCTGTCTCTTGTCAATGTCAGGGAGACAGAATATTGGACTACAGGGACCTTCAGCACGAGGCCCTATATCTATTCTAAGGTTTAGTAAGATAAAACCAAATACATAAATTAGTGGCTGTCATTTAACATGGAAGGGTATGGTATCACTGAGGAAGAAAGCTGATAACTACCAAACTTGCTTCAGTTTGTCTCTATCCTCCTGTGTCACGTAAGTTGTTAGAACAAAAGTAAGAGCATTTTTAATCTGAGTAGGTCTCCTTTCACTGACAGTTCCTGCAATCATCTTGGCACATACTTAGCTTTTGCCCACCTCATTCTGAACTAGGAAAGAACCCTGGAACAATAGGTGATTTCATATTCTTTTTCAGTCTGACCTCTGAGCATCTGGGAGGCCACCCTTATCTTTAGGAGCATGAAATTACAGTAGACTACTTCATACGTAACTCATATTTAGAGTTTGAATATTAAAGGGGTCCTTACAGGTGGTAGAACAAGAAGTATGCCTTGAATTTAGAATAATCTAGTGCTATGCTGATAAAAAAAAAAAATATATATATATAAAAAAATCCTGAATTCCAGAGAGGATTGAAAAGCTGCTGTGTGTGATAAAGAACAAACCACACGCTGGGTACAACCCTATAATAACAAGCACTGCATTTTCTTCTTGCTCTAATCTGTGCCTTACATAGAGATGAAAGGAAAATGTACAAATGCCCCTGGTCCTTCTGAAGTGAAGTTAACAGTGTTTCATATATACAAGAAAGAAGGAATCACCTTTTGCCCAGCCCTGGTAAATTGAGCTTGTTTCCAATCAGATGCCTCTGTTTGATATTCTGATTATGTTTATGTGCCATTAATACAATGATAACAGCTAATTAATGATACGGTGCCCAGTGACAGGACAAGAAGTAACGGACACAAACTTGAACTGGGAAGTTCCACCTAAACCTGAGGAGGAACTTCTTCACATTGAGGGTAGCAGAGCCCTGAAACAGGCTGCCCAGAGAGCTGGTGGAGTCTCCATCTCTGCAGACTTTCCAAACCTGCCTGGACACGTTCCTGTGCAACCTGCTCTGGGTGGACCTGTTCTGGCAGGGGGGGTTTGGACTAGGTGATCTCCACAGGTCCCTTCCAAACCCCACCATTCTGTAATTTGGTGATACAACTAGAATGATGTGCTCATTTAGGAAAGCATAGAATTGATGGAGGGAAATGGTGTAAAAGTGCCACCTGGAGAACAAGGGTCTTCAAACTATACCTCTCATGAGGTGCTATAATGTATTGGGTAGATACATTATTAAGTATGAATATAAAAGTTAAATACCACTTCTGAGTTCCAAAGAAAACTCAGCTAGTCAAAATACTAATTCAGAAAGAAATAAAAGTAGGTGAGGGTTTGGTTAGTCATAGACTGAGAAGGTCACGTCTGAGAGTTACAGAATAATTTTTCTGTATTGAACGACTGCAGCTAAAATAAATTTAGCAACACTCAGAAATAATACATCTTGTCTTTTCTTACACACTGATGGGTTCAGAAGATTCAAGAAGTTTACTGTTCAGTGGCACTCAAAAAAAAAAAATAAAATCAGCACGAAGGCTTAGAATTAAGAAAGGATCATCAAACAGAATAGATTCTGCTGCTTAAATCAAGATGCAGGTGCATCATGAATATTTTGCATGGTTCTGACCTCCACCCCTCTATATTGAAAAGGATATAAATACTAGAAGAGATGCAGGGTAAGGCCTTCAGTTGCAGAATATAGATATGAAAGGAGTCTTCAGACTAGACAAGAGAACTAAGGGGTTTGATAATTGTCCATCTAAAGTCATTAACGGCATGACGAGAAGTGAGGAAAACTACCAGTTTTGCTTAATAAATGAGCTATTAAGCATCAAGTGAAATTATCAAGCACTAGGTTCAAGATATATGGAAGATGGTGTGTTTT